GGCGAGAGGTGCTGGGGGAGGGTGTGTGTGAGAGGATTCACCAGAGACAGAGTGGGGAACAAACAGGCAGACTGATGAAATACACTGCTGAGGAAAGCAGTGGGCCAGACAGGAGAGGTCTGCTGTGCCGTGTGGGCTGTTTGTTCCCTGACTGGCAGGGGGATCAAACTCCTGCTGCAGGGGATGCGGACTCCTTCTTAGTGCAACCCCTTGGGCCACCAGGGAGGCCCTAAAAAGATTTATTTATGCATACAAGACCTGGGGTCTGGGGGCAGGGGGGTGAGAGGATTCACCAGAGACAGAGTGGGGAGCAGAACAGGCAGACTGACTGAAATACACTGCTGAGGGGAGCAGCAGGTAAGACAGGAGAAGTCTGTTGCCATATGTGGGTTAGCTTCCTGGCCTGGGATTGAACTTCAGGGTGATGGTGCTGAGACTTAATCCCTCTGCCAGCAGGGAGGCACTAGTTGTCACTTTTTTTTTTTTTTAAGATTTATTTATTTATGCATTCAAGAACTGGGGTACAGGCCAGAGGTGTGGGGGTGTGAAAGGATCCACTAGAGACAGAGTGGGGAACAGAACAGGTAGACTGACGAAATACACTGTTGAGGGGAGCAGCGGGAGAGACAGGAGAGGTCTGCTGCGCCATGTGAGTATCTCCCTGGCCAGCCGGAAATCGAACCTGCACTGCAGAGGCTGCAGACAGCTTCATAGTGCTGCGCTCAACCCACTGTGCCACAGGGGAGGTCCTAATTTTTACTCTTGATGGGTATTTGGGTGGTTTCTAGTTAAAAATTACAAATAAAGCCAAAAAAAAATCCTTATGTATCTTAACTCCAAGTTTATTTCTCTTCATGTATCCCACCTTGACTGCTGGGTTGGTGGGGTGGGGGAGGGGGGTGGTATTTTTGTTGAATCGTCAGATTATGTTCACAGTGGAAGCAGCTCCCACTCTGCACAAGTGCCATTCGCGGGAGTGTCCTTTTCCCGGTGTCTTTATGAGCGGTAGATGTTCCAGCTACTCAGTTGAGTGACTTTTCAAAGGGTTGGCAGGTCAATTTGGATTTGTAAATAGACCATTTAATGAGGTTGAAGTGGTAAGTTTCTCTTTGCCTCCAGGAGGTTTCCTCTCCCCTGTTAACTCAGCCAACATCCGTCATTTTCTGGGGCCTGACGGTGGCCATGGCATGCATGGTGTGCACCCTCTGCTGTCGCCAAGGCTGTGAGAGGTTTGGAACAGGCTAGACCTAGGAGAAGTGGGGTGGACAGTGATAGACTCCAGGTGACCTAGGCCAGTGTCCTGGGGGACTGGTCCTTTCACCCACCTGTCTTCCTTGTTCTAGAATAAGCTTGCTCATTCCTCAGGAGGACCTGAAGGAATTCAGTCAAAAAGACATTATTTATGGCCTCTCTGGTGGTGCAAGGGGTTAAGCACTGCACTATGAAGCAATCCACAGCCTCTGCAGCATGATCCCCGGCCAGGGAGCTGCCCACATGGTGCATCAGACTTCTCCTGTCTACCGGCTGCTCCCTTCAGCAGTGTATTTCAGTACATCTGCCTGTCCTGCTCCCTGCTCTGTCTCTGGTTCTGAATCCACGCTGCAAAAGCTGCTTGTGCAACATCCTTACTCTCTTCCCCAAGCCAGCCCCAAGCAGATGGCATCTGATAGACTGAAAGGGATATCCAAAGAAGTTTGAAAGCTTAGAAAAAGATTCGTATGCTTTAGTAATTAACAGGGCAGAATATTTGACTTTCAGACCATTAAAACTTGGGGGTGGTCCTTACCTTCAAAGAGTCCACAAAAAGAAAATATACATTTTTTAAAAAATTACACAAAAATGGGAGGTTCTATTCTAAAAAAGACAGGACAAAATGAGAATTCCATTGTATTCTTATTTATTCAATCAGTGCCATATTGATGGACTTTGGTTGAATGCAGTTTTTTTTTAAAGGTTATTTTTTTAAAAGATGTATTTATTTATGCACACAAGAACTGGGGTACAGGCCAGAGATGTGGGGGCATGAGAGGATTCACCAGAGACAGAGTGGGGAACAGAAGAGGCAGAGTGACTGAAACACACTCCTGAGGGAAGAAGCAGGCAAGTCAGGATAAGTCTGCAGCGCCATGTGAGTTGCTCTCTGTCTGGGGATCGAACTTGTGCTGCAGTGGCTACAGGCAGACAGACTCACAGTGCTGTGTCTTAACCTGTTGCCCCACCAGGGAGGCCCTAAAAGATTATTTATTTATATATGCATACAAGAATGGGTGTATATGCTGGGTGGGGATGGTGAGAGGATTCACCAGAGAGAGTGAGGAGCAGAACAGGCAGATCTACTGAAATACACTGCTGAGGGGAGCAGCAGGGTGAGACAGGAGAGGTCTGCTGCCCCATGGGTTAGTTCCCTGGCACACCAGGGTTCGAACTCTGTGCTGCAGTGGCTGGCCATAGCTTGGTAGCGCTGTCTTTAACTGCTGTGCCACCAGGGAGGTCCCTGAATGTAGCTTTTGTCCTAACAACGCATCACTAAATGTCTCCATCAATCTTGTCTCTGGGCTTTTTGTGTCTGGCTTTCGTTGTACTGGCCTTCTGCACTTGTCATAATTATCTCTGTGACCCAAGCTTACAGGTTTTTGCATGCTTTCAGTAGTTCTTCATTGTATGGCTGAGTAGTTCTCCACTGTAGTTTGTACCACAATTTGGGTATTCCTGCTTTTTAGACATTATAAAATAGCTAAGAACATTCTCATATGTGGTTTATATGGATATATGAACATAGGTCTTCTTTCCTTTTTTCAATTTTTTTGCATAGAAGAACTGGGGCATAGGCCAGAGGTGTGAGGATGGGGGTGAAGGGTTCCCCAGTGACAGAATGGGGAGCAGATTTTATAGAATCTGCTAAGGAATCCCCAGCTACTGCAGCACTGGTTCCATCCCTGGCCAGGGTGCTGACCCACATGGCGCAGCATACCTCTCTTGTCTTCCCCACTGTTCCTCTCAGCAGTGTATTTCTTTTTCTTTTTCTGTTTTTTAAAGATTTATTTATTTATTTATACAAGCACTGGGTACTGTCAGAAGCATGGGAGGGTGAGAGAATTCACCAGAGCCAGAGCGGGGAGCAGAACAGGCAGACTGACGAAATACACTCAGCAGTGTGTTTCAGTCATTTTCCCTGTTCTGCTCCCCAATCTGTCTCTGGTGAATCCTCTCACCGCCCTCCCACAACACCTCTGGCCTACACCCCAGCTCTTGTGTATACATAAATAAATAAATCTTTAAAAAAAAAAAAAAGGAAGAAGTAGCTGCTAAGGGAAGCAGCAGGCAAGACAGAAGATGTCTGCTGCACCATATGTGGGTCAGCTCCCTGGCCAGGGGTTGAACTCAGGTCATAGTGGTGATAGTGCTGAAACTTGACCCCTAGGCCTCTAGAGAGGCCCCAGATCTACATTTCTTTCTTTCTTTTTTTAAAACATTTATTATTTATTTATTTATACAAGCACTGGGTATAGTCAGAAGCGCTGGAGGGTGAGAGAATTCACCAGAGTCAGAGAGGTCTGCTGCTATGGCCCACAGAAGTAAACACCGTAACTTACAACGCTGTAACAACTGCAGGTGCCCCATCAAAGGGCAGAAAAGCCTGAAAATCATTTACCCTACACAGATGAATTTGGCAAACGCATCAGAGTGGAAGATGAGAAGTCCATTTTCCAAGTGTTTTTTTTACAGTTTCCTCCCATTGTGGGGTCAGCAGTGGTACCTGCCAGGAACAGCCCAGGTTATGGCCTCAGGCCTGCCCAGGCCCACGCTGTCAGAATAGTGTGGGGGCGTCTGGCCTTCTTTTACTTCCTTCCTTTCTAGGCCTTTTTTGTGTTTCCTCAGCTTCCTGCTGCCCCAACCTTCACTGGAGCAGAGATAACTTTGCTCAGACTTGGAAGTGCAGTTTCTCTGTGCTGCACATGAAGGGGCTTTGTCCAGATGGGCCGGATGGTCGCACAGACACTGCCATTACCCAAACATTCTGGAAACTTCCTTACATCAGAAAGTCAGTATCATTCTTCAGACTGAATTTTTTTTTTTCTTTAGAGAAAGAAAAAGTTTACTGAGGAGAAAAAGAACAGAAATAAAGTGGGACTCCCAGGCTGATGGAACCAGACCAGGGAGGGGCAAGGAAGCTACAGACTGAATTTTTTTATCCTTTTGCAAGGGCAAACTGATCCCCAAGGAACACCATTTGGCCTGACTGTCTATAAGCCAAGGATGACGTCACAACTCGGGTTCTGAAGTTGGTCTGAGTGTAAGCCAGGCACTGTACTGCCGGCCCACAACTCTTTCTTTTCTTTATACCTGCTCCTTCTATAAATATTTGATTACATGTGTTTCTAAAGCACCTAAGAAGATTCAATGGTATTAAAATGTGAATGATTATCTTCAAAGAGAAAGGGTCTGGTATTGAATTTAGGTGAACATTTTGGTTTTTAAACACCTGTCAGAGTTCAGGGCACTAGCTTCATATTTTCCACCAAAAATTGTCTCTCCCTCACTCCCTCCCCATGAAACCCAAATTTACATTAAGAGATAAAATAACACATTTCACACAAAGTGTTAAGTCACCAAGTTATCACCCCCTGGAGATATCACTGTCAAAACCCTGTGAATATTCTTCCAAGTTTTCTTCTTTAAAATACATATTGTGAACCAGAGACACTCTATGGGGGGTAGAGGGCAGGAGGGGAGGGATTGGGGTCAAAATAAGGGGGTTGCAATTGTATGGGGAATATAAAAATATAATTTATTATAAAAAAAATAAGTAAAATACATATTGTGGGGCCTCCCCGGTGGCGCAGCGGTTGAGCACTGGGTTGCGAAGCTGCCCACAGCCTCTGCAGTGCTGGTTCGATCCCCAGCTGCTCCCCAGCCACCGGAGGAGGGTCCCACGTGGCACACAGACCTCTCTTGTCGCCCGGTGCTCCCCTCAGCAGTGTACTTCGGTCCTTCTGCCTGCTCTGCTCCCCGCTCTGGCTCTGGTGAATTCTCTCACCCTCCTGCGCTTCTGACTGTACCCAGTGCTTGTATAAACAAAGAAATAAATAATAAATAAATCTTAAAAAAAAAAAAGCCTTTAAAAAAAATAAAATAAAATACATATTGTGAGCCTCCTTGGTGGTGCAAGGGGCTAAGTCTCAGCACTATGAGACTGTTGGGAGTGATTGTAGCATGAGTTCTATGCCTGGCCAGAGAGCTAGCCCACATGGCGCAGCAGACCTCTCCTGTCTTGCCTGCTGCTCCCCTCAGGAGTGTACTTCAGTAGATCTGCCTGTTCTGCTCCCCATTCTGTCTCTGGTGAATCCTCTCACTCCCAGCACCTCTGGCCTACACCCTAGCTCTTCTTGAATAAAAAAATAAATGTGTAAAAAAAATACATATGGTGTAAGTGGCATTATAACTGCATATCAAGTGTTCTTTAGCTCTTGGGAAAGCTTAAAAGAACAAGCACATCTTTTCATAGCAATATGGTAATGTCTGTCTTATTGCTTGTAATAGGTGCGCAATTTTTTAATTTTGGGGGTGATCATGTTGACCATCTTCATTGGGGTATTGATGACATGGATGTGTTTAATTGCTCAAACTCAACCCGCGTGTACTTTTACCTTACATTTCATGTAAAATGTACTCTAATAAAGTTGGCTTTCAAATATCCGCTCTGAAATGTGTGCTTTGGTTATGTGAAAATAAAACCCAGCCCATGTTGTTCTTGTTCCTAAGAGGTAGACATTTAAGGGTAAAGATTCTTTACCTTTCACTTGAGCTCATGTTTGGCTGTATGATAGCAATAGCAACTGTTTATTTCTGTGTTTTGAGAAGATCGAGGCAGGAGGCCTGGAAATGTACATAAGTGAGAACAGTAGACAGGGGGAAAGGAAAGGTTAGAAAGACATTACATTGCATCTGATCAAGTATTGTTTACCTAAACAAATTTAAATGTTTCGTTGATGGGAATTAAATATCTAATAAAAACCCACAGATTTATGAATAAGTAACATTTACTTCTTTTTAGTTTTCCTCCCATTTCTCCTTTCCTCAATACTCCCTCCCCTGCCCTCCCAGCACCCCCTCCCCTCCCCCCCTCCCTCCTGCACGTGAGAGCCAGGTGCGCCCACCACGCACCTGGACAGTCAGGCACCTGGACAGTCAGGCGTTTGTTTAAGATTTATTTATGCATACAAGAGCTGGGGTACAGGCCAGAGGTGTGGGGGGTGAGAGGATTCAGTAGGGACAGAGTGGGGAGCAGAACAGGCAGATCAACTGAAATACACTGCTGAGGGGAGCAGCGGGCACGACGAGAGAGGTCTGTTGCGCCATGTGGGTTGCTCCCTTGCCGGCTGGGGATCGAACTCCTGCTACAGTGGCTGCGGATTGCTTCATAGTGCGGTGCTTAACCCCTTGTGCCACCAGGGAGGCCCTCGCCCCGCCGCTGTGCCCGGGGGAAGGAGCCGCCGCCCCCCCCCCACCCGAGGCCCAGTCTCGGGGGGGGGGGCGGGGGGGCCACACCGGGTCTCGTCACGTTCCTCCCCGAAGGGAGGAGACCCCGGATCTGCCCGTCGCTGTCCCTCCGGGCGGCGGAGCCCCTCCAGGGGCGGCCTGGGCGGCGGGGGTCCGGGAAGGGTTTTCGGGGGCACGTGGGCAGCGAGAACCGTTCCCTCGTGCGGGCCCCGGAATCTGCCGGAAAGAGGCGCCCCCAGGACCCTCCTCCAGGCCCCAGGACCCCGGCCCGGGCTGCGCAGTGTCGCGACTGCGGGAGGGACAGCCCCGCGGTTTGCGGACCAGACACCCGAGGCCCGCGCGCCCCTCCCCGCCCGGCTCCAAGCGCCTCCCTCTGCTTTTGTGTAAAAAAATAACTTGTTTCTCTTTGCTGCTGTTGGGGAGGGGCGATCTCCAGGCCTCACTGCAATCGTGACTCTGCGCTCGCCCTTCTGCAAAACCCGCCTCCGGGTGCATTAGATTTCCTGCGCAGTTGATTTTCGTTTTCTAAAACGGGATCCGTCCCGGGTGCGTGGAGGTCTTCGGAAAGAAAAAGCCCCCAAGCTTGTGACTCCAGGAGCCCCAAAAGGTGAGTGAAGGAGAAAAAGGCGTCCGGAGGGCAGCCCAGAGGGGCCTGGAGGCAGGTGGGGGGAGGGGAGTCGTTTGTAGGACAGAAAACCTCTGAGGCCTCGCGGGGGAGGGGAACCCCAGCTAGAACCCGGGGGGCGCCCCAAATTCAGAGCCCTAGACCCTTGGGGCCTCTCCCACCCTCCCAGGACGACTACGATTTGCTTCCTTAGTGAATCAATCATCTCTCATACACTGTGCCACAAACCTAACAGTATTATTGGTATTATCATTTTTAAGGTACTATTTTTTCACTTTTTATTTTTGCATAGAAGAACTAGGGTGTAGGTCAGAGGTGCGGGAGCTTAAGAGGATGACCATAGACAGAGTGGGGAACCAGAAGAAGTGGTGGATCAGGGCAGCTCCGACATAAAACCGGTTGCCTGACTGTGGGCCCTCACCCGCGCACTTAAAAGGGACTTACTAATGCTCCACTGCAGGCACACACAAAAGGTTAGTAAAAGGTTTATTTACAAGGGAAGGGGAAATGAGGAAATGTACAACTCAGGGAGAAAAGAGGTAGATAAAGTCTTAAATGTGCTACCTGTTCCGCTGTCCTGGAATCCCAATGGCACATGAGAGCTGGGAAGAGCCAAGAGCCAGGAGGCCAAGACAGAGCCCCAAAGTCCGCGTCTGATTTTATACCAAACCTGACTGCTTAACTCCACCCTCAGGTCCCAGCAACCTTCCCTTTGATGATGATGGAATTTGTATCTTGATGGCTTTGGTCTGGAGTGGGGATGGAGTCCACAAAGCCTCTATGGAATTAGAATTAGTTCAGAACATCCATTCCCCCTAACAGATCCCCCTAAGTGAAATAAACTACTGAGGGGAGCAGCTGGCCAGACTGGAGAGGTCTGCTGCCATGTGGCTAGCTCCCTGGGGGGGAGGGGAACAAACTCAGGCCCTTGAAAGCCCTGAGACTTAACCCCTAGGCCACCAGGGAGGTCTCATTTTTAAGTTATTAGAAGTTTTGGGGTTTGGCTGTGAGCTGAATGAGAGTTTCCTGGGGCTGCCCTCCCTAGGAAGTCCTGAAAAGGGGGGTGGACGTGAGTGACCTTTGGAGGTTAGCAGGGCTGAGCTCCCTGTCTCTCTCCACTGCCTCTGTCCTTGTTATGGCAGTTTCCCAGAGAAGCCAGACTGCACTCAGAGGTGGGGGGCAGAGAGAGATTTATTGGTCACACTGAGGGGTCAGCTGATTATTTCTGAAAGGACTAAGCCCCAAGTAACATGGGTTGTGGGATTTTATAAAGCTTGGGCAGAAAATCATGCGGAAATGGTAAAGAGCACATACCCCAGATAAACATTTGCTTTTCTGAGTTGGAAAGAACAGGCATGGGGTGGGGTGTTTGTGAGAAAGTATGTGGTTATCTTGTGTGACAGAGCCTGGCCTTCCAGCCCCTGGTCATTTTCTACCTATTGTGACTTTGGCAATGAAAAGAATCCCTGAGACGCCATCCCTCATGGGGTGGGCAAATGATGGTGGTCCAAGTAAGTAATGATAAAATGACTCTGAAAACTAAGAAATTGTTAAAACTGTGCAACATGACTTTTCCATACACAGGGTTTTATAGGCCAGTAGAGACAGGCAGAGTTCAAGGCTAAAAATAAAAAGCGCAGCAGGGAGACAAAGGTGACACAACAGAGTTCCTGATCCTGAGTGGTTCATGTCTCATTAGTGGGGTTGAGGATGGTAAGATGGGTTCAAAAACCCCCCAAAGACCACACCTTTCTTGAGAGCGTCTACAAGACTCCCAGGGGACCCCTCCCACCTCCTCGAAATGCCCCTGGTTCCTGCCCACGAGGACCAATGAAGCCCCCTCCCTCCACCTTGAGGTCTCCCCTTAATCCCTTCGCTCTCCTTGGGGATGGGGGAGAAAACACTTTCCCTCCACCTCCTGCACTCTTAGCTTACACCACTGTGATGAAAGATGGTTACTAAGGAAAGAGCAGGGAGGGTCAGATCATGGACTAGACCAGGGCTTCTGACACCCACCTGCACGTGGGCACTGCCCAGGGAGTTGGAAGGGGGGAGGGAGAGGAGGAGGAGATCAGAATGGCTGTGGGGCTTTGGCCGCTTAGAGAATTTGGAGCCTGAGGGATTCAGCTTTGGAAGTGGCTCCCAGACGCCCAGGAGGCAGAGATCTGCAAATATTCCCGCATATCTGGTCTCTGGTGACTTTGCGGGAGACCCTGGTGCAGGCCAGGAGGGTGTGTGGGGAGAAAAGGAGAGGAGGGGGGAGCAGGAGAGGCTCCTTGGAGTCTCCTCAGGAGCTGGGGGAGGCCTTGCTCTGTGGAGGGAGCAGGGGCAGTGATCCGGGTGCTGCTGGGGCTGGGCCCCTCCCAGCTGCTCAGAGCCGCTTCCTGGGACTTTGGGATCCTAAATTTAGGCTCTTGCAGCTTTGTCCATTTTTTCTCCCCTGCACAGGCCCCGGACCCTGGGTCCGCGTATTTGCTTCCCTCCCCCCACCTTTTTTTTCCTTTCCTTAAGGAAGCTGTGGAAGGGGCGGGAGGGGCAGTAAATGTTGAGAAAACAAACGAGAGGCGGCCCGAGGGCTGGTCGTGGGCGGGCCGTGGTCCTGCCCTCGTGGGCCCCGCCCCCACCTTCCACTTCCGCCGCCGCCGCCGCGGGGCGTGTTTCCTCCGGTCCCGTGGGCTCCCGGCCGGAGGAGCGCGGGTGGGCGGTGCGCGGGTTGCGCCGCTCTTCTCGAGCAGCAGGGATTGTCAGCGCCGCCGGGTTAGGCGCACTTTTCGGTCGCCGGCGCCTCCGGGATGGCGCGGTGGCCATTTCTGCTTGTGGCTGCCCTTGTCTCCGCCGTAGCCCTGGGTGCTGGTGAGTGGGGGTCATTAGACCTGGGGGGCAGGAGCCTGGGTGGGCCTTTCTGGGGTCTGGGAGGGGGCCCCTGGGTGTCTTGGGGACCCTCTCAGGAGGGGCCTTTGGGGGGTTCTTAGGAGGAAGGTCGCGGGGACTTGGCTGGTTGCACCCTCCTGATACATTGGTGTATACTTTTTGATGCATTGACTTTATTTAAGCAGTAAAGTTGTGGTCTGCTCACCGGGCCATGCCCCGCCCTCCCAGGTTGCCTGAACAGTCTCTCAGCTCTTTCCTGCTCTGGCTTGTCTACCCCTCTTACTCCATTGCTCTCTCCCTCCCCCTTTTGGGTCTCACCTGCTGCGCCCCTCCCTGCCACCCTGCCCTTCTCTGCTGCCACTACTTCTCAGCTGCCCACCCGGGCTGCCCCCTACCCTGCTGCGCCCCTTCATAGAAGACCCCACTCTGTATTGCCCACACTCCCCTTCTTCCCCTCCTCACTATTTTCCTCCTCTCCTGAGCCTTCACCTGAGGCATCCTACCTCCCCCATTTTACTAAGGCCTGCTTTCTTGGGTGCCTTTGGCCTTGGGTATCTCCCTCCATGCTAGTCCTGCTCCCTTCATCCTGGGGAGCTTGGGAGCTCCTAATCATAGCCTTGACCGCAGGCACAGCCCCTGTGCACAGACTTGCCCTGTCCTCTGTCCTCAGCTCCCACCTCCAGCCAGTGCAGCTCCTGCTCCTGGGCCCTCACCGGGCCCTTCCCCACCCCTCCTGTCCTCACCTGGAGACCCTCCTCTCTGGTCAGGATCCTAACCCAGCCCCCCCCAGCACCTCCTTTCCCCCCAACTTAGGCACTGCTCATCTTGCTCCCCAGTCCTGGCCCTCACCACCAATCTCCCAGCTGTCTCTTTCTCTTCCAGCCTCCTGCCCTTCCCACACCTGAGAGCTGCTCTTGATGCGGCTCCTCTTTGGCCTTCATCCTCTTGGGTTCCTTGACCCCAGTGGGCTCTCACTCCTCACACCACAGATCTGCCACCCTGTGGCAGTCTTTCCCTGCTGAGGGTCTTCTCCCATCCTGCCACCTGATGGACGCAGCCCCCATCTGTGGAGGGGGCCTCATGGCCACCTGCATCACCCCACACTGCAGCTCTCCCCTCCTGTGCCCTGGCCACCTGCTGGGCATTGAAGTTCTGCTCCCCCCTCCCAAATGTAAAGTCTCCTTGGGCCCAAGGGCTGACTACCAGTCCCTGCACCTGCCACTCCCCGGGTTCCGGGCAGGTTCATAGACCTTGCCACAGGGTCTCCCCATTGGGGCCCAGGCCATACCTTCACTTCCCCAGGGGTCCGGACTACCCTAAACTGCTTGTCCCTCTCTCTCAGCACCCAGCCTCCCCTGGCCCCAACCTGATCTTGAAGAACCATAGCCCGGCCTGGCTCATGTCGCCCTCCCCACCTCACACCACAGCTGCTCTGACCTTTGACCCCTGACCCCTACCCTCATGTTCCCTCCCTTCTCTCTGACAAGACCCCCCAGTGGTCATAAGGAGCTGGTGCCCCTTTCTTGGCCTCTGAGTCCATGTTTCCCCTCTCCATCCATTTTCCACCCTTACCCCTCTCCTTTTTTCCTTTTCTTAGATTTATTTTCTTACATGGTTGTTAACTTTTTTTTTAAATGCATTTTTTTTAAGATTATTTATACAAGCACTGGGTACAGTCAGAAGCGCGGGAGGGTGAGAGAATTCACCAGAGCCAGAGCGGGGAGCAGAGCAGGCAGAAGGACCCAAGTACACTGCTGAGGGGAGCAGCAGGCGGCAGGAGAGGTCTGCGCGCCATGTGGGACCCTCCTCCGGTGGCCGGGGAGCAGCCGGGGATCGAACCAGCGCTGCAGAGGCTGCGGGCAGCTTCGCAACCCGGCGCTCAACCGCTGCGCCACTGGGGAGGCCCGGTTGTTAACTTTTGTACAGTGATGATTTCCCCTCTCAGGTGCAGTCCCAGTAACTCATCACCCTTTCCTTGTGCTCTCCCACCCTGGTTCTATCTCTCCCTTGGCCCTCTCCTTCCTTCTCCTTGCCTGGTGTCCTGTACTGCGAATCCTCCTCCTGTCCCTACGCACACAGCCCTGTCTGCAGCCCCCAGGCCTCCAGGGCTCAGGACGCGCAGCCTCGGGTGACTCTGATGCTCATGTAGCTCCTACCTGCCTCACTGAGGATTTCTCCCCCCAGGACCCCACAGGCTTCAGTATGAGCTCACGGAGACCCAGGATGCCTCCCTGCCCTCGAGATTTGTTGCCAAGAAATATTTGTACCATCGGCTCATCCTGTGTGATGACAATAAGAACGGCAGACCGAAGCCCCAAGGCCTGCTGGCACAATTGGTCCTGGGGGCCATAGTGACCAGTGGCTTTGCAGAGGACAGAAAGGACCTGCAGATGAAGCTGGCAGATATCAGGGGAAAGCTGAGACAGAAAGGAGGTGAGAGGGGCAAACATGTGGGGGCCTTTCCCAGGAAAGTTAGGGTAGCCAGTGGGGTCTTTTTCCACTGGATTTTCCCAGAGTAGTGTGAGAATGGGGGTGTGTGGATATCAGCACAGAGGTGAAATTCTGTTCATCCACCACAGGGAGACGAAGAGGAGAGTGGGGCGGGGATGGTTTGTGTGCAGAAGAGCACAGGGACTGGGGGAGTCACCACTGGGTGTTTTTGGGGTAGGCTCCCATTCCCTCCAGGAGATTCAGGACTGTGAGATCCAGGAAGAAACCACCACCACCAGGCTCTTCTGGCGTTTCATCTATGATGGGGAGCCCTTCCTCTTCTATAACGAGACGACCCATGAATGGGAAGCACCCCAGTCCTCATTTCAGCCCTTGGCTATGGAAGTCAAGAACTCCTGGGGCACAAGAAACATCATAAACAATATTGCCTGGGCCAATGTGCGTAATGACGTTTGTCAGAAACTGAGGAGATATCAGGAAGAGTGGATGAACATCACTAAGAGAAATGGTAAGACCCTGGGCACCCTGTTGTCCTACAGCCTGTCTCCGGCTCTGCCCAAGGGGACCCTGCAGTTCTATGGGATGTCTGGGCGTGGTCTCCGCAGAGGTGCCTGCGCTGTTAAAGCCCCTAGGTGAAGACACAAGGAGGGGAGGGTGCGGAGTCCAGGGGAGCTACAGAGCACTGAGCAGGAGTGCAGGGATCAGGAAGGCGGGGACGCCCTCAGGCTGGACTTCAGCCTGCTGGCTCCTAGCCTGCCTGTCAGTCCCTCCTGGTCCCCTCGTGCAGGAGCCCACCCCTCACCTTCCCCTCCTCAGCTTCAGCTTGCGTGTCCTGGGCCATCCTCCCACCATCCTGAGGAGCTGGACCCCAGGGTGCAGAACCACCTGGGGAAGGCCTGGGGTCAGTGATCGAGGTGGGCAGGAACAGCCCTGGTCTCCGTTTCCCTCACTGGGGAGCAGGGCTTGGCCTTGTGTTTCACTGACTCTGTGCTTTCTTCCCGGTACCCCAGCCATGAATGGTATCTGCAGCCAGGCCTCGGATGGCGTTGCCAGCGGGTTGTGCTGGGCACCCGGCTTCTCTCTCTGGAATATCTCACTGGTCTGGCCTCAGGACGATGCGCCCATGAGCCTGAATGCCCAGCTGACTGGGGCTGTATTGTCTTATGAGAACGGGACCTATTGTGCCAGGGTGGCCCCAAAGGTTCCCCAAGGAGAGGAGCAAAGGTTCACCTACTCCATGGAACACAGCGGGAATCACTTCATGACCTATGGTGAGCCTGGGGTGATCCTTCAGGGATCCAACCCTGTAGAGTTGGGGATCAGGATGGGGGCGGACAGCAGGCCTGTGGCTCTGGGTGCCCAGGATAAAATAAGACCTTTTCTAGGAAAGGAGCCGGTGCATCAGCGTCCATGGCCAGCTGTGTCCTGGGGTATCGCTGCAGCTGCCGCTGTCACTGTCCTTGTCGCTGCTGTCCTTCTTTATAATTTTGGGCTTAGGAAGACATCAGCTGGGGAGCATGCAGGTGAGATACAGGGATTTTGGGTGGTGAGGGAGGGGCTCTTCTGCCTGTGACCAGGGTCTCATGTCTCCCACTCTGTAGCTAGGAGAGGGATGACTGGCCTCTGTAACAGGAGCTGGAAGTAGGGTCCTTGTGAATGGTTTGAGGGCCACACCTGCGCCCTTAGCCCTGCCCAGAGCCATGGCCCTGAGTGTACAGCTGGGGCCTCCCTCCTGGGGGCAGGGGTTGGCTTATCCCTGCTCTCAGGCTTATCCCTGCTCTCAGGCTCCCCAGGGCTGGGGTGTGGGGCACGTATGGGGAACCATGGGCATGTTGAGGGTGGACCTGCATGATCCTGGACTGGGGGAACAAGCAGTAAAAGCATCTGTGACCTAGTGGAGGGCTATACACTGGGGAGAAGTTGGGAGGAGAGGTGACTCCTTTAGTCCCTTCCTGTCTGTGCCCACCCCCCATTTCATAGCCAGGGCTCAGATTGGCAGGTCTGGGGGTCTCCTGCTCATCTGCCTGACACCCCCTCCCCTTGGGTCAGAATGTTGTTTTTTTTTTTTTAAAAGATTTATTTATTTATGCATACAAGAACTGGGGTATAAGCCTGAGGTGAGTGGGTGGGGGGCGGGGTGGGGGACCGGGAGGGAGAGGATTCACCAGAGAGCGAGGGGAGCAGAACAGACAGGACAGATCTACTGAGATACACTGCTGAGGGGAGCAGCGGGCGAGTCAGGAGGGGTCTGCTGCTCCTTATGGGTTTCTCCCCGGCTGATGAGGGATCTAACTTGTGCTGCAGTGGCTGGGGATAGCTTGATAGCACTGTCTTTAACCCCTGTGCCACCAGGGAGGCCCAGAATGTTGCTTCTTTTGTCATTGAAACTTGGATGAGAAGAGAATGTGAAAGTCATGAGCTAATTTCTAAATTTCCTACTTTAAACTTTAAAGTTCAAAGCAGATGCTTATGACTGTAGTTGGTTAACCTTACTGGATTTTCTTCCATGCCAGTGATGCATATAATGTGAACAGGAGTTCTTTCAGGAGCTCCCTCTTAAGAGGGTTCCAGATGGGAGGTGGGGGATGGTGACACTTGACAGTCCAGGGTCAGAGGACAGACCTAGCCTCAGGCTAGGGGGTCTCCTGGGTTCCCTCACTGCACTGAGAAGCAGACCCCCTAAGGCTGGGAACCAGTGCCTGGACAGGAGGGAGGGCCTGGGAGCCTCAGCCAGGTAGCAGCTTGGGGTGGAGCACCCAGACACCAGGGCCAAGTGCAGCCTGAGAGCCTGGGGGGTGTAAGGGCCCTGGCAGGGCTGGCCTGAGTGAGCAAGGGGTGCTCCAGGGCCCATCAGGCACAGAGCATGTCACCTGAGATCCTGATGGCCATGCAGTTAGGAGCTGCTGGTCAAGGCTAGGGCAGGAGCAGGCTGAGCTGCGGGGGAGTGGTGTGGGGAGGGGGCAGGCAGTGGCCCTGGGGTGCAGGTGGCTGTGAGGAGAGGAGGCTGGGAGCTGAGGGGAGAAGCCCCTTTGTGTGAGCATCCCCAGGCCTGGAGGATGGGGTCTGACCTCTCTCTCAAGGACCTTGGCACTGAGTAGGAAGAAGGCCAGGGCTGGAGAGGGGGCATTGGGTTTCTGCTTCTGGATCTTGTCCTTCAGTCTGGCCCTTTGAAGTTCTCACCAGGGGTGGTGCTGGGGGCAGGGACAGGTGATGATGTGGTGGAGTGGAGGGTGGGAGAGACCAGCAAGTTGTAAAGTGGAGTGAGAGGGAGAAAAAGTGGGGGTTATCTTCCCTCAGAGACAGGCGGAATGTGACTCCAGAGCAATTTAGGGGGAATTCCTGAGGGCACAGAAAGCAGTAATCTGCAACCAGCTGAGCATTTACTGGTGTCTCTTTCCTCAGGCCCTGATATTGTGCAAGACTCAAGCCAACACCAGGTGGCGCCAACAGCCCTTCACTGGACCAGGGCACAGGGCTGTCAGCCTCTGTTGTCAGCCCCTGAGTCCAGGAACTCAACTGGGGATGCTTAGCATCAGCACATTGGGCCTGGACTCACTGCCTGCGCCCCTCTACCAGCAATCTTACTCTTGGTGCTTCCAGTTTTTCGTCTATGTATGTATGTGTATTTGTGTACATACCCATATGCTTGAATTATTTGTGCAATATTACAGAGTTTTATAACTAAACATATATATCTGGTGTGTGTATTATTTCATGTGGCTGGGAAGGGATAGTATGAGGTTGTGGGGAGAGGGAGAGGTACATACAGCGCTAAAAAATTCCCAGCTCCTGCTCCCCAGCTCCCAGTACTGCCAGACTCACTGACAGACTTCAGCACAAAGGAGAAGCTGGAGAGGCTGGAATGGGGCATCTGGGGCCAGTGCTCAGGGCCTGAGCCTGGGGGGACTCTGCCCTGATGGTGGGAGCTCACGTGATGGAGCAGAGCTGATCTCGGGAAAAGACAGGGACACTGCATTGGGGTGATCTTGTGACAGGGTAATCCCCTGGGTCTGTGCCCCCCGGGAAGGAAGGGTGGGGTTGAGCAGGGAGGAGAAGCTAGAGAAGACCTGGAGAAGGCAGGAAGGGGAACATGAGGGGGTTTGGGTGAAGACACGTGAAGAAACTGTACTTGCTTCTTGGCCTTGGCTTGTATCAGGGATGGGGGACATGGAAGGAGACACCTGGGACAGAAATGTGGGTGAGAGACCGCAGGGAGACTGACGATGGCAGCCTTTATATTAATGTGGGTTTTGGTTTTTGGCCTTTCCTTGCAGTCTTGCCTGGCCGCTTCTGGCCCTTTCCTATGATTCCACACCAGAAGGGATCTTAGATGTGGCAGGATTTTGGGCTTCAGCAGTCCTGCTTTGGGCCACGAGGGCATGGGTAATATTGGGTGTTTGATTGGGAAAGCATTCTTTCCTTTCTCTCTATACACACTAATTGTGTTAAAGTTCCTCTGCATGGCAGGTCTCATGTACTGATCATGTTTTGTGTTGATAAGGTGGAAGGCAGAATGCACTTAGCAGGCAGGTTTGGAGGTTCTTGGGGTGACCCACTGCCCTATGCCATCCTCACCGTGGAGAACAGGGGCCAGTCTGCTTCTGGGGTGAAGTGGCTTCTGGGCGTGTGAGGACTGAGTTGAAGAGAGAAGTCAACACGGATGTGGATGAGCACACGCAGCCCCAGCATCTCCCCCCTAGTCCTGTGAGGTTTCTGCAAGACAGATGGGGAGGTGAGGGATTTCCCACCTAAGCCTTAGCGGTTCCTCACTTCAGGGGACACACAGACTGTTGGCGCTCTTCTTGGTCAGGAATCACTGATCCTACCAGGTTAAACACTGATGATGAGAGCACTGGGTTGGGGGACACCACCCACAAAGCTAACATTTAAGGGGCGCCCAGTGGGCAGCAAGACCTGCCTGGAAGGAAGAGGAGGATTTGGTCCTGTTCTCCTTACCTAGGTTCACAGCAAAGATATTGGAAAAGAGAATTCATTGATACATCTATTCAGATTTGTGTGTGTCAACATATTTTATGCTGTTACTCAGGGTAGATGTCATTCACACCGTTGTGCATTCTAGGTTTCTTTTTAGATTTATTTATTTATGCATACAAGAATAGGGGTACAGGCCAGAAGTGCGGGGGGTGAGAGGATTCATCAAAGACAGAATGGGGAACAGAACAGGCAAATCCACTGAAATACACTCCAAATGTGAGCAGCAGGCGGGTCAGGAGAGGTCTGCTGCGCCATGTGGGTGTCTCCCTGGCGGGGATCAAACTCAAGCTGCAGTAGCTGCGGACAGCTTCATAGGTTGTGTCTTAACCCCTTGCGCCACCAGGGAGGCCCCGTCTTCAGTTTTCTATACCCTACATGTTTCTCTCTCCTAAGAAATGCTAAGCTCTTACTAATATACTTTAAGTTAATTAATGTTAATTAAGTAATTAATGGGGTTAATAAAGTGAAAAATTTTTATTGTAAAAAAAATACATAAGATAAAATTGCCATAGTAGCCATTTCAACAGTGAGGGACAGCAATTTTGTACATTTTTTTATATCCAAAAGGGCCAGTTTCTTATATAAGGAAATTTGGAGGGACCTACCTGGTTGCGCAGGGGTTTATTCTCAGCGCTATCAAGCTATTGCCAGCCACTCAGCCAGCTATTGCCGCATGAGTTCAATCCCCAGGCCAGGGAGCTACGCACATGGCGCAGCAGACCTCTCCTGTCTCGCCCACTGTTCGCCTCAGCAGTGTATTTCAAGGCATCTGCCTGTTCTGTTCCCCACTCTGTCTCTGGTGAATCCTCTCACCCCTGCACTTCTGATTTACACCCCAGTTCTTGTATGCATAAATAAATAAGATTAAATTTCCTTAAAAAAACGAAAGAAAAGTTGAAGGAGAGGACACTTGCACAGACAGGAGTGCTCAGGAGAGCTGCCCCTGAATGGGACAGGTGTGTGAAAAGAAAGAACTGCAGAGTCACAGGTGAGCAGTGTTGGGAGGAGAGCGGGCCTCTGACCATTTTTTATTTTTTTATTTTTTATATTTTTTTAAATATTTATTTATTTATTTATACAAGCACTGGGTACAGTGAGAAGCGCGGGAGGGTGAGAGAATTCACCGGAGCCAGAGCGGGGAGCAGAGCAGGCAGAAGGACCAAAGCACACTGCTGAGGGGAGCAGCGGGTGGCAGGAGAGGTCTGCGCGCCATGTGGGACCCTCGCTGGCAGCCAGGGAACGAACCGGCGCTGCAGAGGCTGCGGGCAGCTTCGCAGCCCAGCACTCAACCGCTGCGCCACCAGGGAGGCCCCTGACCATTTTTATTATCCCTGTTTTTAATATGTGTTGCAGAGTGAGCACCTCTGTCCACTTTTTATTGGGTTGTCTATTGTTCTGGTCTATAAACTGTTTATTTTGGCTGTTAGTGCTTTTCTTATATGCGGTTTGCAAATTTCTTCTCCATTCAGTCAGCTGTCTTTCCATTTTATATTATTTTATTATATTTTTAAGGTTTGTTTTTATTTATGTATGCATACAAAAACTGGGGTGTAGGCCAGATGTGTGGGGAGTGAGATAACTCATGATAGACACAATAGGTGGATCTACTGAGATACACTCCTGATAGGAGCAGCGGGAGAGTCAGGAGAGGTCTGCCTCGCCATGTGGGTCACCTCCCTGGCAGCTCCCTGGCAGCAGCTCAAACACATGCCCCAGGGACAGGAGACAGCTTGATAGCACTGAGATTTTTTAGCCCCTGCTCCAGCAGGGAGGCCCTGTCTTCATTTTTTAAAAAGATTTATTTATTTATGTGTATAAGAACTGGGGTACAGGCCGGAAGTGTGGTTGGGGGTGTGTGTGTGTGAAAGGACTCACCAGAAACAGAGTGGGGAATAGAACGGCAGACTGACTGAAATACACTGCTGAGGGGAGCAGCGGGCGAGGCAGGAGAGGTCTGCTGCACCATGTGGGTTGCTCCCTGGCTGGCTGGGGATCGAACTCTGTGCTGCAGAGGCTGGGATAGCTTCACAGCGCTGTGCTTAACCCCTTGCACCACCAGGGAGGCCCCAACTGTCTTTTCATTTTAATAGTTCTTTCTCCGTGCAGGAGCTTTCTGGTTTGACCTAGTGCCATTGTTTATATTCCCTTTTGTTTCTCTTGCTTTTGGGGATGCATCAGTACCTATGTTTTCTAACTACCATCCTCTTTCCTGCTTCTGTGACTTTGCTTATGGCACACTTCACAGGGTGGAGTCATGCAGTGCTGGCCTCTCTGTCCGTCTTACTTTCCTGAGCATAATGTGCTCTTTCACCCATGTGATAGCAAAGGAAAGGATTTCCTTTTTAAAGCTGAATAGTACCCCATCACATGCATAGAGAATGTTTGAATGATGCAGGTATCTCTCCGTAAACAGAGAGCGTGTGGCTTCTGTACCTTTGCTTTTGGAAAATTGCTGCAGTGCACGCAGTGGGGTGTCTGTCTCTATTTTTATACCCTTCCTCACTTTGGTGGAAATAATACTTCAGTAGTTTTTTAGGAGCAAATGTTTCAGGAACATCTCCCGCATATCCTAGGGTGTAATCACGTGCTTGTATCAATCAAGGGCTTGATGGATAGTTTGACTGAGTGACTAACTATAAGCCAGGAATCTTCCCTTTGAAGAAAGGCATTGCTTTCTGTCTTCTCTACCTTTAGGGAGGGGGGGAAAGGGAGAGTAGGAGAGAGAGAAAGGGGTGGGGGGAAAGAAAGCATTTTCAGTGTTGGAAGTCTCACTTCAAGGGTGCTGACAGTTTTTTGGTGTGGTAGAGGATCACAGTAGCCATTCAGTCTTGTTTTTGTAGTTGTGCTGAGATAATTGGCATTTGGAGGAGGAGCAGAACTTCAGTGTAGGGAAAAGAACAGAAATCCTTAAATACAGATGAGAAAACATCAGACCAACCCTCCATGACATACATCTCAGAACTTGTTTGAGGACTCATCCCAGATACAAAGAAAATAAAGGAAAAGCTGCACAGCTGGTCCGACATCAAAATAAAAAACTTCTGTACAGCACAAGAGACAAGAACCAAACGCAGAGATATTCCACAGATTCGGAGAAACGCCATACAACTGATAAGGACCAATTTCGCACCATCGCCATAGTCTCTCTGGTCCCTTCTCCGCCCAGCGCGCGTGCAGGTGACTCCGGGAGCCAGGAGAGCTGGTGGCTCCGCTGTGTCCCCGCTTGGCGGAGGAAACTAGATGGTGTGACCCCATTATAAGCCTTTGCTGATTACTGGTTATTATTTTATCTTTATATCTTATTTAATGAAATGTCATGTGTGTTACATTTTACTGGCAGTATAAGAGAGAGTAGAAAGCTCACTGAGTTTTTTGCCCAGTGAGCTAAAGACACAGATGAGAACCCAGTGGGCTGGGCAGGAGAGTTTTGACTTGGCATTCCAGGCTCAGGGACAACATCCTCCCCTCATGTAATTGCTCAGTCCAGGCACCATCTGGGAGGAGGAACAGCTCAATATCGCCCCCTTGTGGCCACGGTCTTGCTGTGCCCAGGTGGAGCAGGACCTGAGCTCAGCCTGTCCTTTCTTGGGCCTGAGATGTTCTTCACTGCTCCCCAGCCTGAGTCCACCTTCCCACAGAGCAGCCACCTTCCCTATGGTGAGTCCACCTTCTCACAGAGCACAAAAGCCTGGGGTGGTACTATGGATGGAGGGTGTCACCCACACCTCTGGGGAGATCCCTGTCACCGTGCTCAGGGGAGAGCTAAGCCTCCCTCCCCATGTTTAGAGAGACTTGGGCCCTCATGGGCCTGCGGACAGGGAGCTTCTGCTCCTCACCCTGAAGGAGAAGCCGACTGTCTGCTGGGTTGGGGGCGGAGAGGGAAGGAGGCTGCTCTTCAGGTGTGTGCTGGTCAGGACCAGCCAAGGACTGGACCGTGGACATGGCCTCAGCTGTTGTGAGCTATAGGCTCACCCAGGGGTGCTGTCCCCCGAGGGGGTCCTTGGGCTCCCAGTTCCTCCATGTACCCAGATGCCTGACAAGATGGTAGCAGGTTCTGTGTAAATTAGACATTTATTATTTTTTCACATAGGCTCTTTGTTTAAATCT